GCCCTTGGCTTCAGGGGGAGGCCTACAATTAAGCTTAGATCTTTCGAACGCGTTCGATGTGTTGCCCTGGGCTTTGATAGATCGGGCGCTACGGCTTGCCAAAGTTCCTGCATCAGTCCGCGAGCTAGTGATCTGCTGGCGCAAAGGCCTCACCTACCACCTGACAATCCAGGGTGCAAAAGCTCGAATCTCAGCGGGCCGTGGCTTACGGCTTACGACAAGGCTGCAGGATTTCCCCACTAGTTTGGAGTATGGCCACTATTGTACTGCTTCAAGATCTAGGCGATCGAATAGGGGATCGCAATTGGGTGCGAGCTATGATCACTGCCTTTGCTGATGATATACATGGCGGCGAGTTGATCACAACTACAGCCCAACTTGATAAACTTCTTATCAATTTGGGGCACCTACTTGATGTGCTGACTGAAGCCGAGCTCAACATTAATACCATCAAGTCGGCCTTCTTGTTGCGATTCACCAAAGGTTTTGCTGCCACATGGAAAAGACGTCATGTTCAGCAGACCAAGGCTGGTCAAATCCTGATCCTGCGCACTCCAGCCGGACGCTTGTTCAACATTCCCGTGAAAGCTGAACACAAATACTTGGGTCTGATTATCTCATATCAGCAGCCTGCTGCTAGCTCCATCACACATCGCATACAAGCCGCTTGGACCGCATATGGGCACCTACGACCGCTCTTAACGTGTGCCAATGCCCCCAGATTAGCTCTCCGACTCAAACTATGGACGGCATGCATACCTGCTGTTCTAACATACGGCTTGCATGTATTGAATCTGACGGACAAGCAGATCAATCAGCTACAGGCTGTTGCCACCAGACAGCTTCGTGCTGTAGCAAAGGCCCCCTCACTTCTCACCCATGAAACGACTGCAGCACTCCACGAGCGTCTCAAGGTCAAACCTGTACGAGACATCCTGCAGAAGTCTCAAGAAAGACTACTCGCCAATTTGCAGCAGTTACAGTGTGGCGGAGCTGTTCAGCCGGATACCGTTGACTGGTTGAAACAACACCAGCTACTAGTTGATCCTACTTCACATCTCGGGCCCGCACTTGCGCCTCCCATTGCACCCACTTTTACATGCCCCGATTGCCAAGAAGTCTTTGAAAATTATCGACTCTTCCGCATGCATCAGTCCTCGGCTCATGGACTCAAGGCCCCGGCTCGACGGCACCAGGTCAGTTTCGATCGTGTGCAGCACTCAACGGCGGGTCTCCCTATATGCCGCCTGTGTCATAAACACTTCTCCAGGTGGACTGGTTTACGAGCCCACATCGAGCAAGGGTGGTGTCCGCAGCTTGATCCGGATCTCCACTCTGTGGCATCGGCAATTGTCCCTGCCCCTGCTTACGTTGTTGCAAGGCTGGAACCTTCTGTTCCGACAATCCACATAGGTTCGGCCACTGCTTCACCCATCGCTCCACTTGCCCAGTGTGAATCTACCTCTACGGCGCAGCCTGTTGTACCGGATGACATTCCACAGGACGTCGCACAGTCCCCACCTCAGGCTGACACCGCTGCTGCACCAGCACCTTCTTCAGGATCGATCCTTGCTCACAAATTGCAAGATGATGCGACTGCTGCGCTCGGTCTGCACAAGCCTGGCACTGGCACTCAGGCCGAAAAACACAACCCGCTATGGCAAAGACGAGTTGGTCCAGCTGCCGCGGTCCCAATGGTGCAGCGCGTCGAACTTATGCAGCAGCTACGCACTCAGGGATGGCAGACCGTTATGCAGGATCCTGAACTTCGCGATGAGGTCCGACATCATTGCCCTGAGTGCTCACAGTGGTGCTCCTCTCCAGCTGGTCTTAAAGTCCATTTGACACATGAACACCCACAATGGCTTGCCTCGCAGGATTTTATTCTCAAAAGGGCGCGATTGCTCCGCAGAACCCTTACGAAGCCCTGTCATTTCTGTCTTGCCACAAGCTTCGATCTCCAACAACACTGGAAGCGTTGCCCTGTCATTACCATTGCCTGCTACCTTGAGCACAGAAGCCATGACGTTGCCTGCCACGACCAACATGACGCCCCCGCCTCCATCGCAGACAGAAGGTCCGCCCAATGCCAGACAGCAGGAACTGGAGATGTTCGGCCACCTATTCTCCTCCTTCACTACGGCAACGAACGGTCAAGCTGCGAACAAGCGTCCGAGACCGGAGCAGAAGGACACCGTCATGACTCCCGTGCCCAGCGAGTCTTCGCAGCCGCGGCCGACAACAACGGCATTAGCTCCGAAGGGCAAGGGCAAAGCCAAAGGACAGGGGAAGAACTCGAACAAGGGCAAGGGCAAGGGGAAATCCAAGAACAAAGGACAGCAGCACACCTCCGAGATGTCTCCTCACAAGGATCCCTGGAGCCTCGACACATGGACGGACCCAGACTCTTGGAGCACCAGCAGTTGGTCAACGCCGAGCCACTCGTCAACAGAGCACTCCAACAGTCTCTTGATGCAGGTGGCAAAGATGGCACTTCGCCACGAGCAACAGCTCCACACTCTCCAGCAGGACACCCGACTCTACATGTACTTCAAGCCCAATCAGGAGTACTCCGTCCTTCCCATGATGCTCCAGCTCGCGACGGAGTGGCGACAGACTATGGAGGCTACACCGGAGAAACTGACCATGTCACTCAGGGAGATCATGATTCGGGGGCTACTCAGAGAGTGGAAGACCCGACTTCAGGCCTTTCAAAGGAGCGAAGAGACCAAGGCCACGGCACAGCGCCTTCAATGGTTGGACAGCTTGGGCCATTGGAATCACATGCACTGGTGCCCGACCAAACAGGAACTGGTGTTGACGGAGCGAACAGAGTCTCGATCCACGGAGGAGCTCTTGAACATGATTCAGGAGATGGAGGAGCTGATCACCGGGGACTCCATCAAGACCTTCAAATCGATGCGACAGCTCCGAGCAGCTCCGAGAATCCTATCAAACGGATTGGGTGCAGCTCCTGGTGGAAATTCAGCTACGCGGACCCGGCGACAAATTGTGGACTATTTTCAACGATCTCATCGGCAGTGCAGCGCTCCACCTGCTCGCCGCCCGGCTGCGGCGCGACCGCCATCCTTATTCAGGACTCGCTCAGAGCATCCAGGCCCAGATTTGGTGAGGTCGCCTCCTCAATGCCTTCTCCTTGACTTTCCTCTGCACTCCATCAGTCTTGCTAATCCAAGTTCCACCACATGTTACATGAACAGTGCCGTCCATACCATTCTTCATGTCTTGGCGATGCTTCAGCCGCACGATCAGGCTGCACTTGGGCAACTGTGTCACCTTTGGGGAGCTATTCAGCGCCAGCCTAAGAATTTTGATCCCAGTCACAATCTGCATTGGGTCATGCTGATGAGTCCTTGGCCACGGTTGTTCATGCAGAATGATGCTGCTGAATTCCTCACACATATGTTGTGCAGATTGCGGATTCCCTCCACAGAGGGGAGGTGGGAAGCTCGCAAGCTTGATGCAGGCCACAACTTGCAATTGTGTGATGAGGGAAGTTTGCATCATGCCTTACCACTGCCCATCCAGGGGCATACCAACTTGGCCGACTGTGTTCGGGCCTGGCATTCACAGTCGAAGACTCATGCTCTTGCCCCCTTTCAGCACATCGCCACCCTTGGTTTACAACTCCTCAGGTTCCGCACTCATGCAGTTACCAATCCACGGCGTCGTCCAGTTGGCAAGGATCTGAGACCCATCACTGGTCTTCTCGATGACATCAGTGTACCGCAGTTCTGCAACACTCAGAACCTTGATGTCCATTCTTGCTCTTTCCAGGCTGTGGCAATGATCCTACACCCGGGAACCTCCGTTGACCAGGGGCATTATGTCTGTGTCTGGAAAAGTGCTGGTACGTTGCTGCTACTTGATGACTCCTGTACTGCACGTCCTTGCACGGCAGCTGAACTTGATGCACTTCCTACAGAAGTATACCTTATACGGTACGTTGCATGCCAGGCTACAACTGCAGAAGGCTGATGACCAATCGAGAGTAGAGTGTAGTGCACAAGCCATCGACAATCTGTCATGGCATAGTGTCCAACAGAGGCACCGTGTTGCAATACGCAACATGCTTTGACCCGCTTGGCGAAGACTCTCCTTCGTTGCGTCCGCAAGATGTATAAGTATGTATGTATGTATGTATGTATGTACGTATGTGTATACATATATATATATATATGTACAGATATAGGTTCACATCTTCAACAAGATAGAAATAGAATCTACATACAGGGCCTACGTATGATTGGCAACCGTAGACGAGATAGATACTGAATAATACTGATTCTGAGACAGTGAGAGGGACATACAGATACAGGTGTAGATGCAGATGGATATACATGTATGTATACACATATATATATATGTATATACATATGTATGTATATATATATTTATAGAGAGAGAGAGAGAGAAAGAGAAAGAGAAAGAGACAGAGAAATAGAAAGAGAAAGAGAAAGATAAAGAGAAAGAGAAAGAGAAAGAGAAAGATAAAGAGAGAGAGAGAGAGAGACATCGACGGATAGATACTACAGATACAGGTCGGGATCGAGATCGGAGTAGAGCTGGCTGGATAGACGAATGGATGGCTGGCTGGCTGGGATGGGTGGATGCCGTGGATGGGTGAACTGATCTGTCGATACAGGTCTGGCGAAATCGGATATCTCATCCGATATCTCATCTCCCCCGAAAAACAATTACAACCCCACCCTGAACCCATATCATCCATCCTCGCGGACCCTGAGGCCCTAACAGTCCTGAGAACACCATGAAAAAGTTTGGATTACACTCAGGGTTGACAGCTTTTTCTCTTGCAGATGAGCCCTTATCCTCAAAGGGGAAAAGGAGGGACCCTTAATGGGGACCCCTACCCTATAATGGGCCATATAGTTATAATGGGTATATAGTAGCTATTATATTAAAGTTATGTGCCTAGGGGTCCTTATTAAGGGTCCCTCCTGTTACTCTTGGATATCCAGGATTTCCTGATTACCGCCTTCCTGTGCCTGAACGTCATCTTCATGGGCTTCGAACTCCAATTCTCCGGCTCAGTCACAGGGGTCCAGCCTCCCGGCGGCGCCAGAGTCGTTTAGGGGTTAGGGTTTACGGATTTAGGGTTTAGGGAATAGGGTTTAGGGTTTAGGGTTTTAGGATTTGGGGGTTAGTGTGCAGCGCTTAGGATTTTGAATTTGGAGTTTGGGTTGGGGCAGCCCAGCAGGCTTGTTGCTGTAGCTCGCTGGATATTCCCTACTGCGTGCCATCGTTTGGTTTCGGACTTTGTGGTTTGGCCTATGAGGCTTTTGTTCGATTGGTGTTTGGCACGGCTTCCTAAACCCTAAAAGCGGGTGCTGGATTTGGGGGTCTGATTTATGTAAATATATATATATATATGTGTGTGTGTGTATGTGTATATATATATATATATACATACATACAGATATGCACCACCTGTTCCCGTCGAATCTACAGGTTGGTTCCATATATGCGAACACGACACAGATTTGAGCAGAACAGTAGTGTTTCGCGGGAGATCTTGGGGGGGGGATACAATAAGGCAAGTTTTACATGTGCATAAGTTGTCAGACCCGTTCGTGTAGAGCTTCACTGGGCGAAGGTTTTCTGATTTAGAGTGTTGCGTCGTTAGGCCGCAAGGTCAGACATCGGATGTGTCGTGAACTCGGGGGATCCTCCATGTTCATGTTGTCTTGTAGTTTCTAGGTGCTGGGGAGCAGCACATCCCTGCGGTTCTTGACACCCGTTATATTGGCTTAAACCAGGCCCTAAGCAGAACCTCAAGATAGGGACCCTCCTCAAAGATAGGGACGTGGATTTCGGAAACCCCATATGGGACCCAAACCCGAACTCCTGAACCCTCAGACTCACGACATTGATGCAAAGAGGTCTTCCGTGTCGCAGATTGCTGTTGTGGGACTTCTGAGGCAGACGGAAAAAGCTGCTTCAAAAAAAATTCAAACCTAAATCCTAACCCCCAAACCTTAAACCCGAAGCCAGAGCCTAGGATTGAGTTCTTCAGAAACCTCATCATTCCGGAGAGTTGGTGGCCCAGCATGGAGACGTTCTTCGTGGTAGGGGATCAGTCACCTGAGCTGCATTGGACGATTTCTGATAGGTTCAGGGTTAAGGGTTGAGGGACTTAGGGGTGTAGGGGTTTAGAGGTTTGGGTTTAGGAGGCAGGGTTTAGGGCTTTAGAGCTTAGGCTTATCCGTGAACAGGTCAGAGCTGAGAATGCAGATGCTTAGAAGTATGGAGCTGCGGGCTTCACTTGACATATGGCGTTGCTTGTATTGTAAAGTTTTCACAGAAATAGGGATCCTCGCAGCCAGGCTTCTATATCAGGTACCTATTTGCTGCAGAACATATGTAACATGCAAAGCAGCCATGTCGAGTTTGTTCAAGCTGGGTTGGGGACACTGGTGGCTATGCTTAGATAATCGAAATCCGGAGGGCCCAGAGACAGCCCAACCAACACGCCCCGGCCAAATGTAAAACACCTGGGTCTCGGAGGGCTGGGGCTCTTCTCCGACAAACGTCCTCGTGTCTGCGGTCCTGAGACAAACCCAGACCTTCCAATATCCCTTAATTAGGGAATCTACCAAATTATATCAGGGAACCCACCAATCCTAAATCCTGCACCCTAAACCCCCAAAACCCTGAACCCCGAATTCCTAAGCCCTAAACTCCTAACCCTAAGCCCCTAAACCCGTAAACCCTAAACCCCTAACCCCTAAACCCGAAACCCCTTACTTCCACCTGCTCCCAGGATGTTTACAGCTCTCTTCACCATCGACGTGGGCGTCCGGATCGTGGTGCTGAGGTGCCTCCCTGGCTTAGGGCTTCATAGCTCCGTCGTCGGTTTCGGGTTTAGGGGTTAGGGGCTAGGGGTTTAGGGTTTACGGGTTTAGGGGTTTAGGGTTAGGAGTTTAGGGGTTCGGGGTTCAGGGTTTCAGGGGTTTAGGGTGCAGGATTTAGGATTTAAGGGTTAAGGGGTTTAGTGTTTGGGTGGGCTGCTGTATCTAGCTATGGTTCGCCAACAAACTGTCAAGAGTCAAGACGTGATGTTTTCGCGGAGCGGCAAGACCCAGTACCTGAAACCCTTGTCGCCCCAAGCCCCCAAATCGCCGAATACCCTAAACCCTAAACACTCAGAAGGAACACCCATGGATCTTCGAACCACCTGCTAGCCCTATTTCCGGAAAGCCCCAAACTTCGAATCCTTTCTGAGCTCCACATGCAGGGGTGTGAATAGTTGTTAAAATCATCCCCTGACACTCCCTTCCATGCCTTTAGGTTTTGTATACCCCCAAAGCCCCTTTACTTATTCATTCACGATATATAATAGTAACACGCTTTAAAGGAAAACCTTAAACGACGGTTTGAAGGAACACCATTCTAATTTTTCAGGCCCTTACGTAAGTTGCAAAGCCGCAGTGTTGTGGGAGGCTCAAGTTCTGGACGAGCCCGGGCGCTGATATGCGCTGATTGTCTGGGTTTGGGTTTGGGGGTTTGATAGGGGTACTTAGAAATAGTTCTTAATTTCTGGTTCTTATAACCCCTAAGAAACAGCTAAGATTCAAGTTTTTGCTAGGGTTCTAAGTTCAGTATAGTTTAGGGTTTGGAGGTGTGGGGTAGTTTAGGGACAATGTATGAATTCGGGATGTAGGGTTTGTTGCTTTGGGGCTTAGTGTCTCCGGCACCCTTTGTGATTTAGGGCCACCGGTTGGGGTTTCGGGTCAAGCTGACGGAGTCTCGATAGTTTGCTGCATGATTTCACTACCAACTCTCCTTATCCCTAAGCCCTAAACCCTAAACTCTGCTTACGGCGTTTGGGCGCAGGTTTACTTACGCTAAAAGGTGGTTGGGCGCTTGGGGGGCGCCTTTTGGGGCACAGGTTACTTACGCTGGTTGGTTGGGGGCTTTCTTATGCAAGTTGGAGTAGAAAACATGGAAAAGGAAAGCCGAAAGCTACAAAGGTACACAGCTAAGCACCGGCCAGTTTAAACACCCACTCTTTGGGACCATGTACCCCTAAGACCCCGACACTCTCTCTCAGGATCTGCATGAACTACGTTGATGTCTTGGTGACTTTGGCTTCCCTCGTGGAGCACGTCATCACGGCCATGACGCCAGCACCAGGGCTCGTCTAGTTGAGTTGGTTTGCGGTTTAGGGTTTTAGATTCGGGATTTCCGGTCAATGGGTAGAATAGGGCTTCGGGGTTTAGGGTGTAGGGCTTGGGGTTTACTTTAGGGTTTAGGGTGCGTAAGGGTTTCAAAGATTACGACCAGGTTCTCATGTAAACGTCCTCTTCCTCCTACTGCTACAACTGCTCTTGCTCAGCAATTAAACAAACATGAAAGTCCTACTGCTAAGATACCAGCTTGAATAGCTATGCACCCTAATCCTTGAGCCCCAAACACCCCACACCCTAATCTCCAAACCCTGAGCTCTACACCCTAATCTCCAAACCCTGAGCTCTACACCCTAATCTCTAAACGCTGAACCCTAAACACCCCACATCCTGTAAACCTTATCCGCTGCGACAAAACTCGACGAAAGTCCCGGAAATGGGGGAGAGCGGGCTTTGGACAAACTGGATTTCGGGGTTTTGGGTTTGAGGGTTTGAGGGCTTTGGGTTTTAAGGTTTGAGAAAAGTAGGGCTTCAGGTCAGAAAGTAGGGTTGGAGGGCTCAAGGGTTGAGGGCTGTAGGTTTTAGGAGCTGGGGAAAGTAGGGCTTCAGGGCTTAAGAGTTGAGGGCTTGCGGATTTAGGGTTTGAGAAAAGTAGGGCTTCAGGGTTTGAGGGTTGAGGGCTTATGGCTGTAGAGTTTAAGAATAGTAGGTTTTCAGGGTTCAAGGATTTGAAGGTTTTTTCGATTCGGGCAAAGTAGGAATTCAGGGCTCGGGTCCTGGAATTTGGGGATTCAGAAGTTCGGGGTGTGTCATTTGGGGGCCTCAGTATTTCGGAAAGGATTCCGGGCTATGTCTTGGCGTACTTGAAAATTAGATAAACAAATGAGTACATAAAAATGTGCGTACGCATAAGTGTATATATATATATATATATATATATGTATATATGCGTACACATACATACCTTTACCGGAACTGTATACAAGGAATCGTATCGTGGTTAAGTGATCAGGCCCCTAGATCGGGGTTGCGCGAAAGCTTCACGCAGCCGCTTCAGGTAAACCCGACGCTCTTTCGGCTGCTCCGCATTGGCAAGCTCGCCCGTGCTCTACGCCTGGTCCTGGGCTGGCAAAAGCATTTCGTGGTTCAAGTTTCAAGCTTGGGGGTTGAAAGTTTGGGTTTCCAGGGTTTAACTTGCTCAACTACAGAGCACTCATTAATTCACCGGCGTTACACTTCCAACCGACTGAAGAATACTAGGGAATCACGTTGGCACTTTTGCGGGATTCTATAATGATATGTGTAATTCCTCAAGATTTGCGCAGCGACCTGGCGTTTTGCAAAATGTCGGCATGGTTGACCAGTGGATGGGAAAATAGCCCGACATCTCTCACCCGAAGCCGCAAACTCCACCCACATAAACGAGGCAAAACCCTGGAACACCATTGAACAGATATCAGGGCGTTTTTGTTGTAAGACCTGAATTTTGCTTGGATTAACAAAACACGTGAATCCCTGAATCCCTTCCGCAGCCTTTGAAGGGGACCTTATCGAAGCCTTATAGGAGCTCAGTAGACCTGCATCCTGCTTCTGTTAAAAACCCAACAACAAAACTCTATAAAGCCTGATTCTACTCAAAATGAAGGCCTTCGTATCAAACACAAAGTTTTGGCCCTGGAGGTGACGATGTCCAACACCTTGGCTTCCCTTGAGCTCCTAACGAAGTGCCTGCAGTCCAGCACCGTGTCGGACAAATCCCCCCGACCCTTCCCACATGGATTTTCAGGGTCCAGCGTACATAATGATTCGGCACTGGCGTTTGGGATGGCAGTCAGTCTAGTATTTCGCGGAATTAGTGGCAGCCATAACGTTGAGCACTGTAATTCTCATGCCCTTTTCAAGCATAAGGGATCCTCTCACCAATCACCCTAAACCGATGTTCCAACTGTCCGGAGTTCGCTGTATATGCTTAACAGGCATTTGGACCGTTAGGCTGCTTTGGATGAGGAGCTCGTCGGTGTCTGTGGCTTCAAGTTTTCGAAGGTGATGGCATTTTATTGGGGTCAGGCTTTCGGGTCCAGCGTTTGTGAGTTGAGGGTTTCAGATGTACGTAGGGTTTTGTTTTCGGGTCCAGAGTTTGTGAGTTGAGGGATTAGATGTACGTAGGGTTTTGTTTTTGAGTCAGTAGGCAGCAAGTGCCTTGCGAGGTGTTATAAAGGTGTTCCTGTGCCCTGTGGCCTAAGTCTAGTCTGCAAAACCGTAATGCTCCTCTGCCACTCTGCCGAGGTTTGGATATGCTTTTCTGGTCCTTCTGCTTGCTGACTTGCATCCAGTGTGTCGCTGGAATGGTGGCGACTGCAGCTGCAGCTGGTGAAGTCAATAAACAAGCCTTCAAGAAGTCTAAGCCTTAATCCCGAAACCCTGAACCCGAGACCCTAAACCCCAAGCCCCGAACCCTCAGCCCTTATTTCTGGACAGAGGCACCAACGGGAGCCTCGAAGCAAACTGCCAGCTTTCAATTCCTCCCCAAAACCCCGGATCCTGAAGCCTTTAAATGAGCCGTTTCGACCCTCACCCCAGGAGCCCCGAACCTTGACCGCGAATAGCCAGGAAGGCTTTTATGATGGGGAAGCTTAGTGGCCTTAGTGAAGCTTCCCCCAAGTTTCGGAAACCTCCATAAACCTAAGCCCAAAACCTTAAACCCTAAAAGCCCTAATCCCAAACCCTTTGTAACGGTCCCGATGTGGAACCGTTGACAAAGAGTTTTGTGGATTCTCTAGCTATGCCTGCAAGTAAGAACCCTCCTGTTTCGCGCCGCTTCATGCATTCCGCTTATGCCTCGTAACATGTCGGGGTATTTTCGTAGGTCACCAGATCAAAGCTAAGAACCGCTGAAGTCCTCAACACTGAATGCCAGACCCTGGCTGGCTGGCTTCGCTCTTTGTGCCCTGATCCCTAAACCTCGAGGTGAGTGCCCTTTGCCGCAGCTTCATCGAGGACCCGGCACAAAACATCGAGGTGAGGCAAGAAGTGTTCAGGCGCGGCACAAGGGAGGGAGGATAGTGTCGGGATCGGGATACTTACCATTCACTTATGCAAATATACTGAAAGATTATACATGCCCCAGGTTGTACCAAAGGGACCAGTGAAGACCTAGGACCTAAGCCTTCCACTGAAACTCTCGCAAGCACAAAGCCCTGAGCTAGTCCCGAACCTGAACCTTGGATCCTAACAGGTAACTACATATAGTATCCGATCCACCTCATCGCCAGGTACTACGGCACCTTCACACGCACCTTCCTTTCCATGCTCCCAGGCTTTGTCTTAGGTGGTGCTGCATAAATCTGCATAACACACAAAGACCATTTTCGGTGAGCCTGCCGTTTTTTTGGTAGTGTATGTGGCGATTCAGAAGCGATGCTCCGAGTCTCCGAGTCTTGCATGAGCACAATAGGGACATCTGGGTAATGGCGTAGGTTTGGGCACGTTGCAGGTTGGCTTTGGTGCTGAATCTGCTCCGTTGTTTATGACCGCCAGAAAGTTGCATTGCTCGGCGAAAAGACAGCCAGATAACAAAACCGCAGATGTGTTTTGTTCACCCAGATTCAGCGACCATTGCATGTCTGTTTGCACATGTCAGTGGTCTGGGTATCGAGCCAGAGCCTTCTTGCCGGATTCCCCAGTGGGTAACACCGTTCCGGGCAAGTTTTTGGGATGCCGTCCCTTGGGACCTCCCGGTCATGCCTTCAGCGCATGCTTTTGGTTTGAAGTCGTGGACCCGTTTTTGGGCTGGAAGATGGGCCTCCGGCAGCGACTGATGCATTCCTCAGCTGAAGAACGACAAGCTGGGCCTCTCGCAGCTTTGTGCGCCTGCCTATGCCTGGAAAAGATCTCTGCTGGCCAGGCAATTGCTTGGAACGTGTGTCTTGCGGCCGCTGCTTGTGTGGAATCTTCGTTCGGAAGCAGCTGCGGAGGGTGCATGTCAGCAAGCAGGATAAGCATCTATCAGCGGTTGCAAGCAGCGGCTGCGCCAAGGCTACGGAATGGCCTTCATGCTGCAGTCTGCATTAGTTGTGTGGGATTTCAGACAAATGGTTGGCCGGTACGGATGGCGCACGGGATTGAAGTACGTGATCGACTATGGCCTTGCTGCTGGGATGACTCGCCTTTCGCGAGGTTTTGCAATAAGTATTGATTGAACCAGCTGCATGGAGTTACCGTTTAGTCAGATGCACGTCTTACAACAGCAAACGGTAGCCGTCCATCAGCCTAGATATGCAGAGCTTGGGAGCCCCAGATTTGCAGAGTCCATCGGTAAGTAGTTGTGATGACTCCTTTCGACCCCGTGAACTACATCACCAAGCAGCTGCAGTGCGAAAGCGACGGTGATCAAGACTGAAATGCCGATGAAGCCACCAGTTGATGGTCCAGCCACAGGATTGCTTATGCTGATGGGCTGCTTTTGCCGAGACCCGCCATTCTCCCATGCCTGTGTGGTGACGTGGTACCTGCGGGCCTTCGCAGCTATCGCAGCCGCGGTGCCACCCACACCGAGTGCAAATGCAAGGCGAATTTGCAGGAGAATACCGAAGCTCTTGATCAACTCAAGCTTCTCCTGGCTGAGGTGCTGATAAGTGAAGCTATTCAGGGCCTTGTCGAATGCTTCAGCGGCAGCCCTAGTTGCCTTGTTCTCAAAGGGATTGTTCGCTTCAAGGAACAGCTGGTTCTTCTGAGCGTTTTTCGACACTCTTCGAGCTCATCAGCCTCAAGAATTGCGGCTCTGACTGTGGGTACCCTGTAGAATATAAGCTTCCGCTTGCTATTGCTCGCAAGCAAAATGACCTTGAAATTTGAGAAGCAGGCATGCTTGGCTTCTCAGGCACCAGCATTGGAGAGTGCTTTCGTTGTTTGAATCAGATGCCGTGGCTTGAATCTGGACTTAGAGCGTCGCCGCAACTATGCTTGGCTTTGGCCGGGTGTTTGCTCGACCGTCGCCCGCCTGTGGCCTGCGCCATGTACGGTCACCTCACCAGTCTTTTGTGAGCATGACCTTGTGCGTGCGGGGCCGTCGAAGCGCTGCTCAGTCCGGCCTTCCGGATCTGTCACCGCTGCCGGCTTCCCACCGATCGACATTGCATCCGGTAGTGGCAGGCTGGGGCAAGCAACAACAATACCTTTTAGGGAAGCCACAAACCAGATGCTGCAACGAAAATCCGCACAATGCAAGTTGCTGCTACTGTTTGCCATTCGTCCGGAAACAATTTCTGTTTCTCGTGGCTTGTCATTCGATACCTGTGTTTGTCCGCCAACCAGTTTATTGTAGGGAGTATTGACGGTTCTTGTGATTTTGAATCGCAGTGCCGACATTTCGCACTGTTTGCAGGTGGCCAGTCCTAGATTTTCGACGCTTGCTTTCGGCTCCTTTCATATAGGAACTGTTTGGGATCTTCGGTGGTGTTTTTCTGTATTTCCCGTAATTCCTGGATGATGTAGGCAAGACCCGCTACTAAAACATAAGCGGCTCCGCCCTCAGACAACATTGTATATAAGCAGATTGCCACCAGCTTGCATCAAGTTGCAGTGGTGTCCCCGAGTCTGAATCAACATTCAGTGTGATGACGAATCTACTTTTCGTGTCTTCATTCAAGATGCGTGGTGCCAGACTGCCGTCAAGATTCAGCGGTGCCGTGTTTCCTGGTGCGAAACGGCGAAACGTGTTCACTCCTTGGGTTTGCTGTTTACTGGTGTCTTGACTCCGAGTGCAACATGCTCAGGTTTGAAATCCTCTTCGCTAACTGGGGACCCCCTTGTCGAGTCGTTGCGCCACGGTTGCATTTCAGTGAGCTGGAATTGACATGTAGGAGGGCTCCGTGTAGGCTGTTGATGATGGTTGCACTTGCAGAAAGAATAGAAGCTGCAACAGAGGTAGCTTGACAAGGAACATCCATGGTCGTAAGCCAGAGGTCGAGAACATCAGCGAGTGGTTCTCCCTGTTTTTCCTCCTGTGGCTTGGGCCGAATGGATGCTGCGAAAGCTTGCCGGCATCTACACAAATTTGTTGTGTCCAACTTTTATACAGCATGTTGCATCCATAAAACCATTCTTTGCTGCCGGAGGATGTGGGGAAGGGAGCCGGGATTTGTATCGTTTGTTCAGTGGCTCCGGTTTGGTATACGAGCAACCTGCTTTCCCAGACTAAACCAAGCGATTTTAGCGCAGCCATGCTCCTTTCGAAGTGAAGCAGTTGCAAGATTGCTCCTTTGTGGTCGGCAACACAAGCCTGTGCTTGCAGGTATCGTTGTGTCCTGGGCTTCGCTGTGTTGAATGTCGCACCTTGGCTATCCCACCATGTTTGTACCACCATTAGTAAACCTAAAAGACGTGTCAGGACGGGTCTTCATAGCAGGGAAGGTGTTGACTGCTCGGTTGAAGTTTGGGAATATTTCGCACAGGTCATCGTGAACTTGGCTCTTGCGCGAGTTTTGCATGCTCCCGGCAATGCGTTTGAGACAGTGCTTGTTGCGGTTAAATCAATGAGTGGAAGGTCTGCATGCGTAGCGCTTGTTGTCATTGTTGCCTGCTTGCATCTCGGAGTATGCAACCACCAGGACCGCAAACCCCACCCAGCCTAAGAAGCTTCGAACGATTCCAATCATGAGTGGTGAAGTCCACATTTACCAACGATTTATAAGCGTGCAGGCGCTCGGGAGTTCTATGGCCGTCCTTGTGCAACCCCAAACCCACTGGTCCTTACGGCTGCCCTGACGGTAAGCAAAACGCTCGCTCCATGAATCTGCAACTGACAAGTCGAAATCGTGTGCTCCTGCGGAGGTGAATGCGGTTTTCGTTCAGCAAACCATGAAAACTGCCAGCTCTGACGAAGAACTGGCGTTCCCAGGATCAGAATCGACTTTCGATTACTTTGAAGGTTGCAGACTTTAAAGTTTATATAGGGTTGGCAGAGGGTTGCAGAAATTCGGACGGTTCTTGTGTTGCAACCTTAATTGCACTTGTGGAATTAGGTCGGCTTCATATCACCACTTCCACATCGCAGAATTTCGCTTCAGTTGCTCCGGCACCTGTTTGTGTATGCTTCGAGAACCCCAGCAGACTCCTTAGGGTTTATGGCCTGGGTTCCAGGGTTTTAAGTTTTGCAGGTTTAGAACAAGGGTTTTGCATTCTGGACATAAGGACTCCTCCTTTGGTTGTAGGGACTACAGTCAAAGTCCCCACTTGCGCACCGGGTGTTGGAGTTTCACAACCTGCGAGTGTCGAGATTTCCTCGTAAGCCGGAAACCGCACCCCAGCCGCAAGGCACGAAGAAAGGTCACCAGGGCACTGCTCAAAGGGGCCCTGTAGCATCAGGGTGCATCATGCGAGTGTTTTGTTTTTTGTAGCAGCTTCGTCTCACCCAATTTGTGTGCAATTTTCTGCAGGTTAGCTTTGGGACGGAATGCGCGAAACCCAGCAAGCGACTGCCCAAGAAGCCAAACCTATGCCCGAACCCGTAGCGTCCTACTTGGAGGTTCAGGGGTAGTTATAAGTAGGGTTAGAAGTCCCCTAATTTGGGTTATAAGTATAGTTACCCTATTAAAGAACCCTACTTATAACTAGCCATGAACCTCCAAGTATCCATCCTATCCGACCTTCGAGGGCTCAGCATGGCCCGCAGTTGCAGATCCGACCGTCAGTCGCAAACATGGCTGAGGGCCTATCTTAAACCCTTAAGGGATCCCTCAAGAGCTCCTTTAAGGGATCCTGTAGAGGGTTCGGAAGAGGCCAGTGCCTGACACCTGTGCACCTGAATGCGAAACCCTAAACCGTGCAAGGTTCAAGCAAAAGGAGCGGGACGTGGCCATGTACACCCGGAAGGTGCTGGGCTTTGGGTCTTTACGGGCATGGGGTCTACGCAATGACTTCCACCAAACAAGCATTCCCTAATTGCCTGAATGTGGGTGGTTGTCAAAACTATGGTCCCTTTTTGGGTCCCTAATATAGTACGTTACCTAATATGCAGGGTACCCAAAAAGGGACCCTAGTTTTGACAGCCACCCATTTAGAATGGCTTGCGAGCTTCCCTATAGTATGCGAGCCTTAACTCAGAGACTGGTCTTCATGTACCGGGCTCTTTGTTTCATGGACTGCAGAGTCTATGGCGCTATAGTTGAGGGTTGGGGGGTTCAGGGCTTAGGGGTTTACGGGTTTCGGGCTTAGGGTTTAGGGGTTTAGGGTTCCGGGTTAGGGTTTGGCAATGTTCTGCCTCCACCGCAAGAGAATATCATTCGGCAACAAGCGTGACGCTTGAAGCTCGAAACTCTTGAGCCCTTCGTCGTAGAGCTCGACAAAATCCGAAGCTCAATGAAGCCTGAAATCGTGTGTTGGATCCTTAAACCCTCAAACATAATTGTGACTAGAACCTTTCCCCCCAAACCAAAGCTTTAAACTGTTTATCGCAAGCCTGAACAGCCAACCCTTATCATTAAAGCGTTAACAGTCAAAACAGTAGACCTCCGCGCTTCAGGTGAAGAAGCTCTTCCAAACCATGGACGAAGAGGGCGACGGAGCACTTAGCCTGGAGGCGTTTGGGGACGGGGGGGGTGGGGGGGCGGGAGCGGGGTGGCTGCTGCCTGTTTTTGGAAATCGTGCACATCTGTACCCTATAGAGGCTATACAGGCATACAGCTGTCGTGGATATCTCAAAGTCGATACGTTTTGGGGTTGTGTCGCAAGGAGCTTTGAAGGAGAGGTTGGGGTTGCTAGAGTTGTCTTGCCAATGTCCAGCTGTAGGATCGGATGGAAGTCCAAGACTACGGTTGATGATATAAACACTACATTACCCATGATAAGGAATATACCATAATTCCCATAGTTTAGGGTCCTTCAGGTAGTGCAGGTTCTATATCATCAACGACGGACCCAGAGTAGGCCCGTATTCACTTTTTCAGGGTTCAGGTTTCCTTGTAAGCCCCTTTAAACCAAACAGGGCACCCGTTTTGTTCCTGGGTTACTCTTGGGTCGAGAAAACCTTAAACCCGGGCATGTGTCCTGAATCCCAATCGGGGAGCATTTGTACTCCAAAGTTCTGGTAGATGCATGCACAATGGTCATGTCAGATTCGAGCGAAGCCACGACATTCTGCGAACACACAGAACTTGTGCAAAACCCCGCTCTCTTTCGAAGCATCAACTCTACACAATAAGCCCCAAAGCCTAAACCATGTAAGGACGCTCTTATACAGATCGGAAAGGGGCCTTTTAAAACAACAAAAATATTACTAACGCTAATTATATTAATTATGACAACTGGAAGCCGTTAAAGACAACTTACGACAAGGAGTTTACGAAGCTCGCTGCATCGCCGAAGCTCAAGTTTTGGATGAGCCAGTTTCATGGCTTGGGTTTTGGGATTTAGGGTTTAGGGGCTTTGGGTTTAGGGCCGAGGGCTCAGGGTTAAGGGGTTTAGGCGCTGGTGGGTTGTGCATGTTTTAACTGCGATCTTAAGCTTTCAGCGTTGTAGGGGGCTCGGGGCTCTAGGGTTGCAAGGCTTCGTAGGTTGGCGAGCAGAACTCTAGCATCAGAACTGTGATGTTTCAGTGCTTAGGGATGTTGAGGGTTTTAGGGCGATCAGGCTTTTCGGTTGCGGGTAGTCCGTGTGTGAGGGCCTGCTGCTTTAATGTTCTGAAGTATGCGAAAATGTAGAGGGTATGAGGAGCAAGAAGATGATGGCAAGGCGATTATGATAATGAGGATGGTGGTGATGATGAGAATGATGATGGTGATTAGGTTGCTGTTGTTGATGATGATGAGGATGATGATAATGACAATGACGACGACAACGATGGTGATCGCGATGGTGACGATGATGAAGATGGTGATAATGAATGACGGCGCCGGTGATGATGATGTTGATGATGATGCTGCTGATGATGATGATGATGATGGTGACGAGGATGAAGACGATGATAATGTCGGCAATGGCAGTCATAATGACAGCGGAGAAAGAATAGCCATGCGTACTTGGATGATGATATTTATGGCCGTAAGTCGAGAAGGCAGGGCAAGACGGCAATCACGCTGACACGAGATGATGCCACAGGGGGACGATGATGACGACAGCGACAACTCGCGAATGGTTTTGCAAAAACACAGACATCCGTAACCACCATACACTAAAGTCGCTGCCGGCGCTGAGAGAAACCTCTTTCAACAATTCCTGCACTCCTGATTCCCAACAGAAGTACGTATCCAAACCCTGAAGCCCCAAACCCTAGGCGCCCCACCGCAAGACCCCCAGCCGCGCATGTCAAGGTTAGAGCTGGAGTACCACGATCTCCTGTCGCTTTTCGAGCTGCTTTGAAGCCATGCTCGGGCTGAGGGATTTGGGCTTCAGGTTTCAGGCACTGCAGGGCATTTGGCTTCAACGTGTTAGTAGACGTCCCTAAGTCTCTGTAGAGCCACACAACGCTTAGGTGTCAGGATGCTTCAGGTTAATCTTTCGTAGGAGAAGATCATAAAGGCGGCGACAACAATCCCCAACCCCCACAAAAAAGTTATAGAGTTTAGGATTAGGCTGGTTGAAGTCTTGGAATCGACAGCCTGCAAGGTTTTTGGACAACGGCGATGGGCAAATTACGCCTTCCGAGTTTATCGAGGTGCAACCATGGGTCCGGAGAAAGCTTGGGCTTGCGGAAGCAATCGAGGTTTTGTTTGGATCTTGCTTCTCATCAAAGCCCGTGCCCATGCCAAGCCCACAAGAGAGCGTTGGTACTTAGGTAGGCACGGCTTACACTAGGATGCCCAGTAGTACCCTTATTCCCTTTTTTGTAGTCCTAGGTTCCTTATAAAGTTACCCAATCCCAAAAAGAGAGGCCTTTTTATTCTTAGGTTACTGGGTATCCTAGTACAAGAAAGGACAGGCCTCAACCCTTCAAGGCCAAGTCCGGATGTTCCGGGAGTGGGTTTGAAAAGGACCTCTGAGCAGGACATTATTGTTTCTCATTCGCACCCCAACAGGACGAGCCCGCATGTCAGGGCATTTGGAAGGTTGCTTCAGAGTAACACAAGGGCCTCAAACAGTTGAGTTAGAACAACACTCTTTTTGGGTTCCGATACTACAAAACCCGTTTTCTAAGGCCCATCTAGTACAAGGCTCACGGTTTCTTCGAGTTGCCGACGCAGGTTGCTGAATCTCCTTCTCTTGAAGGCCCTGAACCCTGGCGCTAAGACTAAGACCTACACCTCTTAGCCCCAAAACCCTAAACCCAGAAACTTGCCCTCAAGCCCAAACCTTCAACCCCAACCCCACAACCCTAAGTCCTAAACGCTGCCTAAACCCTACACCCTAAGTCCTAAATGCTGCCTAAACCCTAAACCCTGAGTCCTAAATGCTGCACCTGGAAGGGAGCGGCTCGGTTGCGTGGGAGCGCGAAAGCCGTGGACATCTGGCGACTGGAAACGAGCCACGGTGGCAAGCAAGGCCCTTTAGCTAGCTGTTTAGGATTAGGGTTTAGGGCTTAGGGTTCAAGGGAATTGGGTTTTGGGTTAAGGTTAGGGTTTAGGGTGAGGCTATTAGGGGTGGCAAGGAAGGCCGCTTGGTTGAGAATAGCTAGAAGAATATCAGTTGACGAAGCCACAGCTTACCCCCCAAATCTTATTACAACCATCAGAATCAAGCCCCAATAGAATCATAGAGCCCCAAAGACCCGTACAAAACCCAACTTGTTAAAACCCTGAACACCTTTTGCTGGATCAGGGTTAGAGCCTGTACACTGTCTCCCTAAACTATGGTCCCTTTCGGCTCTTGCTCTTACAAACTGTTGAAAAACAAACTGGGTTTAAGGCTTGGGATTTGTGGGATGGAGGGTTTTCTCACACTAAGGATCGTTTTATTCATCGGCTACATTCGGGCATGAGCTGTTGGTACAAAAGTAGTAGGTGACGTTCAGCCCTTTTTCGATGTACATAGATCGTCCTTCCAGGGGCTTAGTGCATTGTCCAACCCGCACTGAAAGCCGAGCTTTTGTACCGGGGATCACAACACTTATTGCACAACAACTTGTAAACCGGGTTGGGGCCATCTAAAGCCAGATACAGTCGCAGATTCGATTAAGCGAAGCATACACTGTACAACAGCCTCCTCTCAGACAACCAGCGACCCCGTGGCTCAGAATAAAAAAGAAACACCTATATGATGTAGTTTGAGGTTCTACCCTCGCTATCTGATTGTGAGGATTCCTGCAGAGGTCCACTGTCATTTAGTCCCAATACACTTTCCGGAAAGGAGATCACAAACAAAGAACGGAAGCTGCTTTGTGGCTACGGCTAGTTATTGTGTACAGGTACTGTAGCAGGGCTCAAATAATTGCCAACACTGTGTGTTCGTGCCTATAATATACCCCGAAACCTTTGTATATTGTCAGTGCCCCCCAAACATATTCTGAACCGTTGCACTATCCTGAGGAAGATGGAAGTCCTTTTCGGAGAGGTCCTGAAGTATGTTGGCGGCGACGAGGACTGGACTAACAGAGGAGCCTTGTTATTTAGATGTGCCTTTATATACTAATCGTCTAACAGTATCATGTACCGAAAAAAAGGCTGATTATGTGAAGGCGCTTATGTAAGCCTCTTAAAGATGTGATGTGCTGGGCTTCTGGTGGACCTGTGCCCAAACACACCTTTGTTGTGGTCCTTGCCAAGTGTAGGTAGGGCCCACTTGAGGGCTTAAGAGTGCTAAGGGAACCCTTGCCTAGACCCGAGACCCCTAAACCCTAAAGCCTAAACCCCGGGAAGCTTACCAAATGAGCCTGGCAGGAGGACCAGCCGCAGCTCACTGAGTCTGAAAAGGTGCAGAGAGTCTTTGCCGCCTCCAAGTGCCTGAGCTGAGGATTCGGGGTTTTGGGGTTTACTGCTGTTGATGATATAAATCCTGCATTACCTTCACGACCCTAGACTATGGGAGTTATGGTATATTCCTTATTATGGGTAATGCAAGATTTATATCATCAACCGTGGGACATGGAGTTGTGTGGGGTTGAGGGTTCGGTTAACTTAGGGTTCTGGTTTTCGGACTCCGGGTATCTCGGGATTCAATGAGTGTTTGTCGTGACGGACACTGGCAAACTGTGGGACGTTTAGGGTTTGCGGTGCGGGGTTAAGGGTTAGCGTAAGGCTTGAGGTCTTCGGGTTCAGGGCATTTAGGGATGGTGTTGTTTTAGGCTTGGGCAAGTCGGACATGAGTTACCAAGCCGGAGGGGTGGGGTGCAGGGTGTTTGGGCTCTCACACAAAGGTTGGACATTTGCCGTCAAGATAGTTCTCGTTCAAGTGTATGGTTGCGAGTTTAGGGTCTGAGCCTTATTGTGTGCGACCTGATGGCTTTGGAGTTCGGATTAGCGGGTGGGACGGGTTGGAAGGTGGAGTTGGAACTTGCTGGCTGGGTTGAAAGGATGATTGTAGGAGGTATGTGTGTTACTATATACCCACCCCTAGACGACCTCCGCTGCAGCCCAGGTATCAGCACATTCATTCCATCTCCGTGTCACGAAACAGCGCGAAAAATGGTGACAGTGCAGCAATGGAAGACGAGTGAGGCATTGCGGCTTCATCGGTATGTACACTACCGCTCCGAAGTGCAGCGTGCCCTTTCTGTCAAACTCAATGCTAAACGGGCCTAAACGAACCCTGAAGCCTAAACCCCAGCCCCAGATTCCCCAAGCTTCAGCCCAAAGCCCCCAGACTGGATAAAGACTTGCGAACACAACAACTCGGAGTCCCGTCACTCTGATTCAAGCCGTAGAATGAGCCTGGCAGCTTTCGGGGCTACAGGGCTTTGGCGGTTTCGGGTTGAGGGCTTGAGGTTTAGGAAGTTTAAGGTTTAGGGGTTTAGGGCTTTGGGTTTAGGGGTTGAGGGCTTGAGGTTTAGGGCTTAGGACCTAGGAGTTTAGGGGTTAGGGTTTAGGGGTTTAGGGTTTGTTGTGTAGAGTTTGTACAGATTTCGGCCATTCGGCTCAGGGTGTTGCGGCTTCAGGGCAGGGCTTGAAGCCCTGGAGCGATTGGGGAGTTTCCGAAAATAGGGGATACCTTACTGTGGGCTCCTAATAACAAGGATCCTACTATGTAGGGTACTATATTAAGGTCCCCTATTTTCGGAAACTCCCATTTCGTGTCCAGAGCTGCAGGGCATCAGCAGCAGGTACGTGCCATCCCCCTGTAGGTCGTGTGAACAAGAGCGACGGAAAGAAAACCCAAAACACCATTCTATGATGAGGTCTCCGACTTGGCTCCAAACATCCGAAACGCCAAACCTGAAAGCCGTATCCCCAAACGCATCCTAAGACGATGGAAATTGAGGAGTTGCTCAAAATAACAAATCACGCAACGGTCCTGGGTCCTGAGCCTTCTGATAGGGAAGTTTCCGAAAAATTAGGGGTACCTTATTTGGGGGTCCTTATAATAAGGATCCTATTATATAGGGTCCTATATTAAAGGGTCCCCTATTTTCGGAAACTCCCATAGGAGGAGATGCCAAGATGTGAGGTCAACAGAAGTCTAAGCTACCGTCGCAGCGCCCGCTAGGCGTCCTTGTGACAAGAGTGGCATACATGTCGGGGACAAAACAGGAAGCCTAAGTAAGGCAACTGCAGGGAGCGTTGAGCGACAAGGTCCTGTAGAGATCATGTCGCGGTTTAGGGCTTAAACGACCTAAATCCTGAATGCTCAGCCGCGTGAATCTGTATAAGGACCAAGTTTTGTGCTTCAAACTCCGACATATATCCTGGCCCTAAACCGAGAGTTATTTCGAAGAAACGGCCTGACAGCCGTCACGCGTCTCTCCACAAAACGTGGATGGACCAAGCCCCGAGTTTCACCCTGAAATACCCGATTGCCGCGGTCGCAACTTGTGCATGGAGGGCGTAGGCTGCAACCTTGAAAAACCTAAGCTCCCAAAACAGATCATCCTGAGTCAAAGCCCTGCTCTACATGAACACTGACTTCGGTGACTGGGGCTGCTCCGACAGCAAGCCGCATGTGCGAAGGAAAACGCATCTTTGGCTGGCCTGTCGTGTGCAAACGCGAGGGTTTGTGAGAAGCCCCAAAACCCAGAAACCCAAAACTCAGAAACCCTGAACTTTGCCCTAACCCTCGAGACCGTAAGCCCAGAACCCTAAAGCCCCAACCCTAAACCGTAAACCCTAAAGCCAAACAAACACCAAAGCCCAAAGCCCACAGAAAGCCCCCGCTGTGCCAGGCGCCGGCAGCAGACTGGTGGGAAGCCCGAAAGGTTGTGTTAGGCGACTAGGGTATGCCAGGTTCATGGGTGGTTGTAATTGTAGAATAACAGGTATCGATTTGGGATAACTTAGAACTCTTGTGCAATATAGAGCCCTGATTATAACTGACTTCGGGGACCTTTTAAAGTGTCGGCAGTCTTGTTTTGCGACTTTGGGTCTTATGTGCTTCGTGTTCAGGACTCAGTGGCTGGTATGGGTTTAGGGCTCAGGTTTCGGGCTTACCATAAACTCCTAAACTCCGGCGTTTGGCGCAGCGCGTAATTTGGGGTGTTCTCTTGGCGCCTGAGCAATTGTCAATAGTTGGCTTGATGAACTTCCCTTATAAACGCACTATAAGGGTTGCTACAAGAGATGGTGCCACGTGCCTCTGTATGCTTCTGATTCCTTGACGAATGCTATTCGAATTGCTTGTTGTTGGTTTCGCCGTCACTCCACCAGCAATGATCTCGAACCCTAATTGAGGTCAGTCTGCTTGGTCAGAGCTTGCCGTGCTGGCCCGATGACCCAGCTGACCGGCACGAGGGCGGTGAAGTCAGTTTAGGATTTAACCCCGGTATGTGATGCTGAAAAGAGGGTTTAGTCTTGAAAGCAGTGTTTTGCACGACCGACAATTGGACAAGATGGCTTCAGAGCGGTGTGGCTTAAGTTTTTCGCGTTCAGAGTGGTTTCAACGAAATTCTGGTGGCGTTTTGCAACCTTTAACAGTTTTCAATCTGCCGAACAACAGCACTATTTTCTCAAAGAATGAATGATGTTTGAAGGGCAACACAGGCGAACATCAGCAAAAGTTGATGCAGTTGACTATGCGAGATGAGCCAACTTACTGTCAACTGCGAGTCATATGTAGTCAGCTGCAAATAAGGCATGTAAGACTTCAAGCATAAACTGTTCATGGTTTTCAGCAATGGCAATAACATGCTGGAGCACAGAGTGAGTTGTATATAAGTGCGTATGTTCCGAGTGTTCAGAAAGGGAAGGTGTGTAAGCCCATCCGGTGAAAGACTGGATGAACAACCACAGGAGCTCGAACGTGAATTGAGCCGGAGAAGTACCATGACCCTGACACTTGTAGATAACTGGGCTTTGGAGTACCATACTTTAATGCTTTTTTCTTAAAGGAACCATTATGAAATAGAAGTTTATACTTTTTCTCCCTGGCTACTCAAAAGCCCAGATAACTTCCTGATTGGAATTCCTTTTGGTGATGAGGAGGAAGCTTTTCAACCATCATCGCAGCGCGGGTGTTCACAACATCATTCTCAAGACGTTGTCGCGCACATCGCCGGATGCTTAAACATTATAGGTCGTTTACAAAATCACTAGGAGCTCATTGAAGCCAAGATGTTCAGAACCGCAACAGAAAACTGCAGCATGCGGCTCGACGCCAAACACCCCATGAACTGCCGAGAAAGCCCTGCCCCCACCAAGGATCCTACGAGCGATCGGTCGGTGGATCCTGCAAAGATTGTTCACTTTGGGTTACTATACGTACAATTACTTACAACCCCAATTAAGGTACGTATACCCTTACTTACTAAGTCCCATGATCCTCCAAGTAGAGGGGATTCAACCTGGGAGCTTGTCCGACAAGGATTGTTCTTTCAACGGAAAACCCTAAACCTTAAACCCTCTCCCTGAACAGCTATTCCTGGCAGCACCCCCCTATAGAGACCCGTTGAAGGAACCCTTGAAGAAAATCCATATAGAATATCCCCTTATACAAAAAACCCTTTAAAGGAACCCTTAAAGGAAGCTTATCTAGAAGCCGTGAAACAAGCTGAGAGCCGGGATGCCCTTTCAAAATGCAGCCGCCTTGTTGGATCTCAGTATTTAGGGTTTAGGGTGTAAGGTTTACCTTAATACCCTGAATAACCTACCTTTTTTAGGGTTCCTTTTTATGACATCCTTATATAAGTCCTTAAAAAGGTGGGTTACTCCGGGTTAAGGTAGGGTATGTAGAGTAGGTCACCTTCAAATCGCTAGGGCGCTATGATCCCGATATAACCCCAAGATACTCCCAAAGGGTAACCTTTGCTTCTTCAGGATATTCGACAAGTAGGTGAACATTGCTGCATAGCGTCAGCGCTGTTTACTGTCATCGCCAGGTACACGTGGGAGTTTCCGAAAATTAGGGCTACCGTATCTTAAGGTACTCATAATAAGGGTCCTACTATTTAGGGTACGATACTAGGGTCCCCTATTTTCGGAAACTCCCACGTGTTCTGGGTGTCTCGGGTCTTTGGTCGAATGACCTGGCCGATGCACTATAAGGCACTTACAATTACAGGGAACTCCAGAATTTTGGAATATGGTTTCATGGTAGGAGACCCTATAATTTACCATAGAAGGGTTAGGATAATCATATTCCAACTTTCTGGCTTTTCTTTAGGGTTTTAAGGCTTAGGGTTTCGGATTCAGACTGGCCCATACATACCTAAAGGGAACTCCAGAAAGTTGGAATATGGATTGATGGTAGGATCCCCTGTAATTTACCTCAAAGGGGTTACGATAATGATATTCCAACTTTCTGGCTTCTACTGTATACCCTTGAAGAGAAATGCCGAAAACTTTGACCGGTAGGGCCTTACAGGTCAGTTGAAATTTGGGAAGCCCAAAACCCCGAAGCCCTGCCCGAACCCCAAACCCCCTAAACCCTACGGTGACGGCCAGGGCGGCCAGGAGAGTTTGAATGTCGTCCCGCGGCTGTTTCCTGCAACACAGCAATCCAAGCTCGTTTTGAAGGGGGGTGCCTGGGGTTTAGGGTTTCACGGTCTGGGTTCAGAGGCCTTTCCCAAAACCCTGAACCCGAAGTTCCTTCCTCACGGTTTGTAGCTTGGGATTGTTTGAGGCCTCTTAGGGCCTAACTGTACTAGGTTTTACTGGTGTGTTAAGGTTTTCGTTAGGCATTGCCAGAGCTCACTAGGGTTCTTAAACCCCAAACCCAATCCTCAGGAAATCTCAGCTCACTTCGCTTGAGATGTGATTTCGGGTTTCAGCGTCCCGCGGCCTGCATCCCAAACATGCCTGCATCGTTGAGTCGCTCTACTGAGGGGTTTAGGGTTGGTACTACCGAGGCATCTAGTAGTTGCACGCCGTTATAGCTCCGTATATACTTGCACGATAATGTACCCCCAGACGCTAAGAATACCGCAGAGAACGGAGTTGCATGGAGGTGCACTGACAGCGACTATTCAGGATTGTTTGCTGCTGCTTTGTTTTTTCTGGAGGGTGGGTGGGGGCGGGGGGGGCGGGCATTGATGCGGAAGCAAATTCAAGGAAGCTGCAAGTCCCACGTAAG